TGTTGGAAACAGCTTAAGAGGAGCTTGTCGCAAATAAAAGAGAAGGAAGGCGCGCGGGCATGAGCACGGAGTGTGACAGTTTGGAAGTAGCCAGACGCTTGGGTCCGGGTCTCCTTCATCGCTTCTTACGCTTACTTCTGGTGCTGATACCTACCCGGTTCGTCTGGTCGTCGACTCTCGCTCATGGATGAACCAACCGCACGAACTACAAGGACCTGACTTCTAATGACCGCAGCCTGCCACAACAGTCCTACTTCCCAGGTTTATATTGCAAACGCATGTACTGCACGTCGCATGGCACCATGTAGCTGCAGGACTTGTCTCAGAAGCACCAGTACGTCGGGCCCTACCTCTCAACCTGCGTGTTCCTCAAGCCCGACTCTGGTGATAGGCTCTTCACTTCGTCTCCCCTCAAATCCAAGCAAGTCGACAATGGGGAGTTTGAGCAGCAGCGCTGCTATATACGAGCCGCACTCAAGCGAGTACAGGCACCCCATGACCTTCTACGACGCCACCGAACCCCACAAGAAGATGGCGCCTGACGCCAGAGACCTGCGCTGAATGTACGAGCGCCAGACCGCACAGCTCTGGCACTACGCCATGCGCATCATGCAGGGATCCGGCGCAAACGAGGACTCGCCAAGAGAGATACACCGTGATCAAGAAGTCATCGGGAGACTCCCGCAGCGATGTCTAAAAAAAAACCGCTAGGCCTGCGTGGAAGGCACAGCACAGTCATAGCGAAAGCTAGAAGAGCACGGCCTTTCAAAGCCTTTCAAAGTACTTATAGGGTAACCACTGCAAGCACGCTTGCTTGATTCCCACTAGGACATTAATGTTAAAGAAATTTCGGTAGTAGGCTGGCATTCGCTATGCTATTTTTTGTCATTCTTCTGAGAAGCGTCGTATCCGCTGAACACTTACTAGCAATTTCGCGCCAATTGTTCATGTAGTGGCTGACGACAATGAGAAAATATGGCTGAAGTGGGTATGCGCCACAGCTAATAGGGGAACAAGAACAAGCTTTTGTAATGGGTTGAGGCATTGGACGACCCAGTCGTCACGCTATCCGCATTTTGTGACGACTGATTGTTCTTTCGCTGTTTTAAAACACTTTACGAATCGTATTAACACGATTGCTTTCCCAACATCAAGCCTGCCTAAGGCAAGTTTGCGACAAGTCCCAAGCAGAGGTGTGGTTCAGTGGTAGAATACTGGGCTGGCACCCAGCGGACCCGAATTCGAGCACCACCGTATCATTGCTGCTAAGTTTTAGGGGCGAAGTTCCTTAGGGTGTGAATCTGTCGATCCACCGTTGGTGTATGTAGCCACCAGTGGCACATACCTGAAAGAGCGGTCCTTAGAATGTCCGCTGGATGGCGGCACTTGTATGTGAGGAATACATGATGAAAAGATATGAGATGGCTGTACTTAGAGTGTTGCCGAAAGGTCAGTGTTAATTTTCAATAATATAGTGCACCAATATGAGTACGATCAATCATCGGCGCAGCCAGAAATCATCCGGTGGGGGGGGGGAGGAGCGAGGAGGGGTTTCAAATCACTCTTTATATATTTTCGTGTCTATGTTTGCATGTGTGCGTGTATATATGAAAATTTGCACACCCGCGCTCCTCCGATAATGTCATTGCCAGAAATATCTGCTGCTGTCATGAGTCGCATGTCCTACTATGTACAAATTACAAAGAGTGCTACAACAGACCGTGGGGTAGTTATGCAATCACCTGGCTTCGGTAACTGACGGAATTGAAGTGAGAGCATCGTTTCTATTTTCCTGGCCATTCTTTCCGTCGATTGTTCAACCCTTTTAACCATCCCGTAGAGTAGCAGACCGTACGTGCGTCTGGTCGACCTTCCCAAAGTTTTAGGGGCGAAGCTTCTCAAGAAGTGGGCTGCGCGTCCCGTCGTATTCGTATGTATATCCACCTGTCGTTAGTTCTTGAACAGGCCGTAGAGGGTGGTACTTGTACATATAACGAAATGCATATTCGCTGAAAATGCAAATGGTACGATACCAAAGGACTTTACTTGTAGTATGATAAATATTAAAAATCGCAGCATATCCATGGATTGAATGATGATGAGTAGAGTGAACGTCCATCAGTCTGTCCGTACTTCCATCTGTTCATTCGTTCTTGCTTCCGTCCATACGTGCATCCATCCGTCCATCAATGCGTGCGTCCGTACGTCCATCTGTCCATCCGTGCGCCCATTGGTTCATTCATGCGTCCGTCTAATCGTGCATGCGTCTATTCGTCCGTCCGTGTAGTGTCCGTCCGTGCATTCTTCCGTCCATCCTCTCATCCATCAGTCCGTCCGTACATCCGTCCGTCCATGCGTTCGTTCCTGTGTTCGTCCATGTGTGCGTCCATCCATGATCCGTCCTTGCGTTCGTACATGCGTCCATTCATCAGCCCGTGTGTCCATCCGTTCACCTGTGCGTTTGTCCAAGCATTCATCCGTCCGTCCGTGCGTCCGTCTATTCGTGCATCCGTCCATGCGTCCATCCGTTCATCCATCCATTGATCCGTCCGCTTTGCCCCACTCGTGATCATTCAACTCGTGGATATGCTGTGATTTTTTTCTACTTTCGCCAGATGTGCTTACGGACACCAGTGGCGGTGGCGGACAACATCGCGTGACCCAAGTTGTGATCTCACAACAGCTTCCGCTGTAAAACGTCATCGTGGCTGAGACCCATGTACCCGAAAACGCCACCTCGACGTGCGCCATCGTTCCAACTCTGGGACGGACATTGACAATCCGCTATTGGTCTCAGAGGACTTGGACAAATCTCTGCTGCCTTCCAACGTGACCAAGATTCTTGTCCTCGGCGAGGTCACTGGCCAACGGAACCAGGATGCGCCAGCCCCGTCGTGATCATCGTCATCCTCGTCAAGCGAGGAAGAAGAATCATTTTCGACTTCAGAGTCTTCATGCAGATCGAATGCACCTGTGAGCTCCAGTCGGAAGCACCTGCGTGGCGGGGATCGCTCTAAGTACTCTGATGTGGCTCAAAATGTTCCAAAGGAGACATAAGCTTGGTGGACGTAATCGTTCACGACACCCAGACAGACTCCAACACTCTGCTGCCAACACCAGTGCACGTGTACGGGCCTCCGACGCCTTCCAAAGCGTTTGGCGGGGTAACTGTACGAAAGAACCAGGATGTTTCTGCATCGCCGTCGTCGAGCGAGGAAGAAGAATAATAGATTCCAGAGACTTCATCCAGCTCCAATGCAGTTTCGAACTTAGCAACCGCGAATGAGTACCGGACCCCCACCCCTGCTCCCCGTGGACAAGCAGCAAATAAGCATGCAGCAACTGCAGAAGCTCCAGATGCAACACCAGGAGCACATGAAAAAACCTCACTCCCAAGGAGCGTGCACATATTTGGGAACCTCGCGAGTTTACAAAATGAGGCCAAGATCAGACTCAACCTACAACAAGCGATGCAAGAAGAGCGAAAGCCCTCTGTTTGGGCTGAAGATGGCAAACAACTGTACGGTCAAGTCATCTACACACTACGGCTGAATGGACGGCTACCCTCGCAAGACAGACTGACACCTCACGTAGCTTTAATGTTATTGGCTAATCTCTGCCGTTGCTGTTTAACACCTAGCATACTCACTCAAAGCTTTCGTAACACGTGTGCAACTTGACTGGTCGTGGGAGTATACCGCAAACAAAGGAGAATGAAGGGGCGCGTGTACGAGCTTGAGCCATGGGCTGGGGCAGTTGTTACGTTGACATCGAAAGTAGTGAGGTGCTCAGGCCCGGTTCTCTTTCCTCGTTTTTCACAGAGCTAGGTTTGCAATATGCCAGCAGCGGGACATGCTATGTAAGTCTGCCTAAGAAATCAGATTTGTTTTGCTCACAGAACATGCCGGAAAGGTTCGTGGTTGCGTTGGCCTAGTAAATGAAGTTCAGGCAACGCCACCATTAGTTCCAACGATGAAACTGGTAAATTCATAAGATAGTAACCAAAAAGAAAATAAAAACAGCCCAATGAACGTGCCGTCAACGCAGTCTCAGTACCGTTCCCACTGTTGGTAGGATACACTACAAGCGCACTTCTGACTGACTCTCCACCGTTCTAACATGTGTTGCTTTTTGGCTGCTCAAACAGCAAGTCACTGGCTTGGACGTTCAAGGTCCAGCACTGCATAAGGCGCAACTACTCGCAGATGTTCATTGTCCAGCATGGACGACTTACTGTCAAGGCACTGTCAACATTACATTACATGGGCTTCATTGTTTACCTAAACTTCACCCGCCCAAATGCATTCTCCCCTACTCTTTTGAGTTTCGATTACTGATAACTGCATAGCTTCCTTTGTGGGCTAAGACGCGTAATGGCTCAATGGTTTCTTGAGGTGCGCCCTCAAAGGGAAAGCTTGGTCACACAAGATGACCACAGGGACCACCTGTGCACATCTATCACACGTTCTCGGAACGTCGTTCAGGAATGCTACCCCGGTCAGAAAGTTTGGCGTGTACACAATATTTCAGATTTTGTTGACCAGAAACCATAGATTGCAACATTTTTAATAATAAAGAAAGTTCATTGGGATTATCAGCAAATGTCTGGCAGTTACACGATAGTATTTTGAGATTATCCGTGAAGATATTGGCCCAACCACGGAGGTCTATTGGCTAAGGTATTCGGCTGCTGATCTGTAGTTCACGAGATCGAATGCCGGCTGCGGTGGCTTATTTAAGATGAAGGCGGAAATGCTGTAGGTCCTTGGGCTCAGATTTGCATGCACTTTAAAGAACCCCAGGTTGTCCAAATTTCCAGAGCTGTCAACTACGGCGTCTCTCTCTGTCATGTATTCATGACAATGTTTCTTTTTCATTCATAGCAAGCAAAGAGTGGGATATAGAGGGGTAAACGTGAGGAAGCCTTGCTCGACTATATGAGGAAGCCTTGTTACACGTGAGGAATCCTTGCGTGAGGAAGCCTTGTAACACGTGAGGAAGCCTTGCGCGACTATATTTTTACTCTTTCTCTCTCCTTTCTTACATCTTGCTCAGTGCAGGGAAAAACCAAATATGTTTATTCTCGCAAAGCATTGTTGGATTCGTTTGCTGCAAGCAGGTACGGAGGAATTACGAATTACTAAATAGTTCTGCCGAACGCGATCTTGATAGCCATCGTTTTCGTCGACACGATCACAGTCCTTGATTATAAAAATTACATGGTCAGCTATCTAGATTCCTTGAAGTTGGATTCTGTCCTTCTTGCGGATGAGTAGCATTTTGATGAACCACGTGACGGCTACTGCCATATTCACAATGCAGATGAGATGATACAGACCCTTGTAAGTGCCCTGTTGGTCTCTGAAGTAGCCTGGAAAGACAACAAGAAGGCCTTCTTAAGCACGTAATGAGTAATGTGGGTAATACTACTTACACATGGTAAAAACACTGAGCGTGCGATCACACGCGAGAGAACACCACGGTCACAGAAAAGAAGGTATACAGGCAGAAAAATTACGTACTGGCAAGATTTAGAAATTTCCGGAGCCCTCCACTACGGCGTCTCTCATAATCATGAAGTGGTTTTTGGACGTTAAACCCCACATATCAATCAATCATCGTACTGGCAAGATGTATTTGACCGCCAAACGAGTGATGCTTCCTAGGCACGCGTGATGGTTTACGCAAGAGATAACTGTTCTGAAATTTCGGTGAAACGGCTGACGTACGCTACCGACATGCATTCAGACACGCCTCTTCCTTCCTTCCTGTCGCATGTTTTTCAAACTTAGGTCTGCATTCCCTATCGACTACGTAAACAAAGCTGAGCCTCCGATGAACGGTCTCCTATGTTCCACAGTCCCTGTTAAGCCAGTCAATCTAGCTAAAAGCTTTGTTTACAACAGCTGTATTTTTGAATTTCACGAAACTAAATCCAGTTATCGTCTATTGCCTGCTCATTGGGTCACTCCATGGCGGCGCACAGCTACTTAATGTCAGCCATAAAAACTACAATAACGCCTTATGTGCCTTCCAATTTGCTGTGAGACGCGCAACGCATGTGAGAAATACTTATACGACACGTTCTTAAATGCGAAGCACTTCTTAGCAAACTTAGGCGACATTGAGCGTATCTATCTATCTATCTATCTATCTATCTATCTATCTATCTATCTATCTATCTATCTATCTATCTATCTATCTATCTATCTATCTATCTATCTATCTATCTATCTATCTATCTATCTATCTATCTATCTATCTATCTATCTATCTATCTATCTATCTAGCTAGCTAGCTAGCTAGCTAGCTAGCTAACCGCTTACGTTTGGGTGCTCTCATGGTCACCCACTTAGCTTGGCATGAACCAAAATTGACATGGGAGGGTAAGATAGTTTGACGACTATGACGCGCTGGTGAACACATGAATATTGTCACAACCCCGTCGCGTACGTCGTCGAACACTTCCCGTCAGACAGTGGCACATACTCATGGGCGGGTATGTGCCGCTGGTAAGCGGGTATGTGCCACAGGTGATTGACACTTAGTATATACCCAGGGATGATGAGAACACACGTGGGTAATATTAATGCGTGAGCGTTAAGCAATACCCGACATCGGTAGCGTCAACCCAACGAAGGCATAGAATAAATGTCAGTATTTAGAAAAACTTGACATAGGCACCGCTGGCCACCCGACGAATGCAAATAATAAATTTCATGATCCCAGCAGGAATCGAACCCAAGCATTCTGCGTGACGGTCAAGGGTTCTACCACAGAGCTACGCCAAGTATCGGAGCTACTTTTCAAATAGACGCTAATATTCGGGAAACGTCAATAGTCGTCGTAGTGCTGCCTACCCAATTTTTTAACAGTGCATATGTACTCCTTTCATACGGCCGTCACGTCGGGTTACCGTCAATTGTGGTGACGTGCCATGTGCTGAAATTTATTTAAGTAGCAGTGTCAAGGGCCAGCATCTTCGCGAGTATCAGCGCTTCGTATCAACTTCTGGTGGTGCTAAAACACATTTCCAGCTGACATCGTTCTGCAAGTGGGAACTGGTTATATAAACATCTGCAGCTCTTCAATATATGTCTCTGCGTGCAACATTTGTACATTTATAGCGTCATTTCATGACGCGTTGCTAAAAAAAAATTCCACACGGTCACCTTTTCTCCGCGTGCTTCGCATAAAGTTGATTCCCAGGTGCATGGGATATGCCAATTTTTTTGCTATCGTTTTACTGATTGCCACGCAGGAATGCTACGGCCCGAGTTCAGCGAGCTCTGCGGACACACCCTTTTGAATGAGTGAGAAGGTCAAATATATTCCTTAGTGCGTGTTTCAGTGGAAACGCGGCGTCCTGTTCAGTGCGGTTGACAAAGTTGTGTCTTCAAGCAAGAGACATTATCTTTCATTTATTTAGTTGTTCCTCTAAGGGCCATTCATGCAAGAAAAAGGCAGGAAATTTTGCTAAGATCTGTTTAAACTCATTTTCTATCGTTTGATGTCTGCACTAAAACATCCTTAAGAATGCAGTACCTTGTCTTCTGAGTTCATTTGTGACCGATTGTCTAACAACAGCGCGACTGGAGCTTGCCGAGGTCACGTGGACGATCATCATCAGCGGCCTCGGCTGGCACCTCTTTGTCCTCTTGGTTGTCTGCTTACTCCCCAAAGACGTGCGGCGGAATAATTTGTACACATGGCTAATTCAGAGCACGCTGTGACCAATCTAATTATTCCAAGTCAGTAAACCAACAGAGCTAATTAGGGCACATTTCAAAAAGACCTTGCTAATGAACCCATAAATATTAGAATGAGCTAATTATGAGCGCTAATTATTAAAAAGTGCGCTATTTAAAATCACACTCTCTAGCGCTTTACTAAGATTATGCTAAGTAGTATATGATAAATTGCACATAGCCACTAGATCTTTGCTAGTCAGACCTGAGTTAATGTCTTGTTAATTAAAACATTCCCTACAAAGACAGAAGTTTTTATTTTCATGCTAATCAGGACATAGTTAGGTAGTACCCGTAAAATTTAGATCGGACTCACGTGGGCTTCATTCCGAACCAAGCGGAGCAGATTCAGTAGACGAGCCACGTAAAAGCTAGAAAAACCTGACTGATGTGAAAGAAAAGTAAAACAAAAAACTAAATTTTAGGCCAGTCGGTCTCATGCCACCAATTTCCCACAGCGTGTACTTCGTTCTGCTGAGCACCAGGCCGGAAGTGCGCTTGTACACATTTCACCAGTAGGTACATGGCGACAGCAATTCTCTGCCTCTCACAGCAGCGGTGGCTGCTCTTTCACCAAAGTAAATTAAGCTGTTCTCGGTGACTTTTACAGGGCCACCTTTTGAAATGAGTTCCCGTAAACAACCGACTGCCAGGTACTCCTTTGCCCATTCGGCAAAACTGGTGGGTTTCTAGTCGACACTGGAAATAGAACACGGCACCTCCCGCATTCGAACCGGACGCTCTAACCATAGCGACCACTGTGGTTTGGTTGGGTGATGTGATCACAAGCTGGGCTCTAGCCTCCCAGAAGTAGGTCACCTTGCACTACTCGGGTCAGGCCTAAGCTTCTGCTTCTCGAGTAGGGCGTATGTCGTGCTCTTAGCTGCTGCTTAGTGCGCTGCATGAGTAATTTTTTTTTCGGGCCCGGGCTCAGCCCAGCCCGAAAATGCTATGCTCCGGCCCGGTGTTTTTAAATATGTACCCAAACCTTTAGGGCCAGGCCCGAAAGATTGGAGATTTGGCCCAGACCGTTTCAGCCAATTATGCTTCAAGTATAAACAAGGCACTGTGCGACTTACTGTCAAGATACTTGCCACACACACAAAAAAATGGCTTGACATCTGCATGTTACACCGCAAATTGAATGGCATTCTGGAGGCGCTGCGTTAGGGTGCCTAGAGCGTGCAGCGGAGGCAAACAAGCTCATCAAGTCGTGTCACACGTGAGCCATGAGCGCTATCTGGCAGTTACCCTGGAATACGGGGCGCACTCCGCGCGCGCCTGTCTCTGAGGTGATAAGGTGTAGAACGCAAGGCGACGCGTAGGTGCCACGACTGTGTCATCTTAGCAAGGCGTGAGAAACGCTTGCCGTTTCGTGCAAGCGTTGCATGGCTAGAGCAGCGTTAAAAGGTTACGATCCTTAAAATTACTTATGTATGCGTTTTCTAGTAAAAAATACACATGCATAATATTGACGTGCTTTTATGGTGCAATATTTGCTTTTTAATTGGCAATCGCACAAGTGTAAACGATGAACCTTGAGCAATATCGGTGGGCGCTGCGGATGGTTTCCACCATTCGGAGTAACGTTTTGTCACTTTGGTGCCGTTTTGGTAACCGTTAAGAGTAGACAAACAGGCAAATCGACAGACAGACAGACAGACAGACAGACAGACAGACAGACAGACAGACAGACAGACAGACAGACAGACAGACAGACAGACAGACAGACAGACAGACAGACAGACAGACAGACAGACACAAATTTCTGCGTTGAAGGTTCCCAAGAAAGACTATGGTCTTTTTATTAAATGGGAAGCATTTCTTAGCGAAGTTAAGCGACTTTGAGTGTATCTATTTACCTATCTTTCTAGCCGCTTACGTTTGGATGCTCTCGTGGTTACTCGAAAGAGGCCGCCAGGAAGCCAGAGAGTTCGGATGTGCCTCGCATCAGCTCCGCAGAAAGTTGTTTTGTCAGGTGGAAATAGTGCAGTAACAGTAAACAACTCCTATAATCGCCTGTCTGAAGTTCTAGGGATCATCTAGATCATGACTTCAGGATTGTCAGTACGTTTTGTGACATTTTATGGCTATTTTGGTGTTGACTGCGTCTCCGCCTAGCAAAGCCTAACGCTAGCGGTGAACAAACGCGGCGGCTCGGCGGTGGCCGACGCCCCCGGCGTTCGCTTCAGAGCCCCGTTGTGGAGACACGACGGCAATGGAGGTGACCGTGGAGGGTACTGAAATTACCCCTGAAGAATTTAGAACCGCGGACTGGATCAAAAAAGTTGGAAAACAAGTCAAAGAGCTGCGGGACTCTGCTAGAGGTGACAGACAGGGACGCCAAGATGGCAACGCCCGGGCAGAAAGTGGAGACGAGCCCGGCGAAGACAGGAAGAAGATGGCGGCTGCGAACGCAGAATACATAAAGCTGGGGCACAAGATCTCGGAGCACTCGATTGCGTCGTACCTACCGCGGTTGCCGGCGAACGGCTAGAAGATAATCATTCGTCCGAAGTGCGGGCTGGCGCTCACAAAAGTTCTGAACACCAGGCTCAGTGAGGTTGTGCGCATGGCAGCGCTAATTCCGTAGATTAAGGGACAAGAAAAGAAAGTGCTCAAT